GGGATGAAGGACAGACGAGATTGCACTTTCCTCGTGTATTGGGAACGATATTTCACCTGTACCGGTAAGTTGCTGCTCCATGTGTGCAAGCACAGGAAGCGTCGATGGAAAAAGCCCATGTATTCGTGCACGCCGACACCAAACTAGCAATACATGTACCGGTACATTGTACAATTTGTACTTCGAAGTAGTTCCCGAACTTACTTTCAACTCGCATCGTTCTTCATTTGCTTGATGATTTGGACAGTCAGAGTCACCGCTTAAAGTTATTCTCTTCTCGTTCCAAAGCTACACAATGTTTCAAAGTATTAGCCAGTGATCCCTTTATACAACATGTATGGCATAACACTGCGTAATAATGCCGATGTACTGCAGTGGGTGTCTAAAGGCAGTACAGTGTATTTACATGTACTAAAAAATATATTAAAAAAAAAAAATCCGCCCGCCCGCCCGTAAAAAAAATGTCCATGTTAGTCGAACCACACACCTTCTTTAGTTTGGCCTTACTATATTAGTCTACCATTGGTCTACTGTCACTGACTGTGGGCACTACGACTATGATGAGTATGACTCTATGACAGTCTGACTACAGTCTACAGTCTACAGTCTACAGTCTACAGTCTATAGTCAGACTACACAGCAGTACAGTCACCACAGTCATCGTCACACACTATTACTAGTACTAGTACCGTACTGGCAATATATGTTGCCGCAGTGAGGCCATGAAGCGTTACATTGGCACATGTTTGCCGCACGCAGGGCGTTACATGCAAAGTCGCACAGGAGCCGTTACACAGGTTTCTATATTGCCGCAGTCCTTTTTTTGCTATTGCCGCATCACTTTTTTGCTATTGCCGCATCATTTTTTGCTTTTGCCGCATCATTTTGAGTGAAAAGATCGCGGCACCCCGCCGGACGCGCGTTACGAACTCAACGAAAATTTGTCGCACTAGCCTGGTCGCGCGTTACGCCGCACCCCCCTGCGTTACGCGTTACGCGGCAACATATATTGCCAGTACGGTAGTACTTAGACTAGTAACTAACTTAGGGAAGTTAAGGCAAAAATTAAAATTTCACCAGTTGTAGTCTTCGGGGTGCTGAGTCGAATGGTCTTGGTCCGAGAAAGCTGAGACGCTCCCTTCCTACTTGAATCCCAATCGAACTCGCGCACTTCCACCGAAACTGGGTGACTGCGCCCTACGAGATGGGGATTTGTACGCAAAATGTCACTAAAAGCGCCATTTCGTTCTTATAAAAGCACGGATGACCGCGATTGGCCCATATGTTGTAGTCTTTTGGACGCTGAGTCGACTGGTTTTGGTCCGAAAAGGCTGCGATGCAGCGTTCCTCCTTTATTCCCAATCGAACATGGTTGAAGAAGCGGTCACGTGCTCCTGGGTGCCAAAATCACCTGGTCACCACGCCAGCATGCAGGCGACAACTTTCACACCAAGGTTCAACTCGAGTGACAGGACTGCACCCAAAAAAGGTCAAAACAGGCTGTAAGTTGTACCCTGCAGGCACGGTGACCAGCTGACTGGTGTACGCAGGAGCACGTGACCACTTCTTCAACCATGTTCGATTGGGAATTAGGGGCAAACGCTGCATCGCAGCCTTTTCGGACCGAAACCAGTGGACTCAGCGTCCAAAAGACTACAACATATGGGCCAATCGCGGTCATCCGTGCTTTTATAAGAACGAAATGGCGCTTTTAGTGACATTTTGCGTACAAATCCCCATCTCGTAGGGCGCAGTCACCCAGTTTCGGTGGAAGTGCGCGAGTTCGATTGGGATTCAAGTAGGAAAGGAGCGTCTCAGCTTTCTCGGACCAAGACCATTCGACTCAGCACCCCGAAGACTACAACTGGTGAAATTTTAATTTTTGCCTTAAAGGGGAAGTTAAGGCAAAAATTAAAATTTCACCAGTTGTAGTCTTCGGGGTGCTGAGTCGAATGGTCTTGGTCCGAGGAAGCTGAGACGCTCCCTTCCTACTTGAATCCCAATCGAACTCGCGCACTTCCACCGAAACTGGGTGACTGCGCCCTACGAGATGGGGATTTGTATGCAAAATGTCACTAAAAGCGCCATTTCGTTCTTATAAAAGCACGGATGACCGCGATTGGCCCATATGTTGTAGTCTTTGGGACGCTGAGTCGACTGGTTTTGGTCCGAAAAGGCTGCGATGCAGCGTTCCTCCTTTATTCCCAATCGAACATGGTTGAAGAAGCGGTCACGTGGTCCTGGGTGCCCAAATCACCTGGTCACCACGCCAGCAGGTGACAACTTTCACACCAAGGTTCAACTCGGGTTCAACTCGAGTGACAGGACTGCACCCAAAAAAGGTCAAACAGGCTAGTAAGTTGTACCCTGCAGGCACGGTGACCAGGTGACTGGTGTACGCAGGAGCACGTGACCGCTTCTTCAACCATGTTCGATTGGGAATAAAGGAGGAACGCCGCATCGCAGCCTTTTCGGACCAAAACCAGTCGACTCAGCGTCCCAAAGACTACAACATATGGGCCAATCGCGGTCATCCGTGCTTTTATAAGAACGAAATGGCGCTTTTAGTGACATTTTGCATACAAATCCCCATCTCGTAGGGCGCAGTCACCCAGTTTCGGTGGAAGTGCGCGAGTTCGATTGGGATTCAAGTAGGAAGGGAGCGTCTCAGCTTCCTCGGACCACGACCATTCGACTCAGCACCCCGAAGACTACAACTGGTGAAATTTTAATTTTTGCCTTAACTTCCCCTTTAACTTCCCCTTTAAGTATTAGTTAGGGCGCGTTCGAATTGTCTTCATCTTTAGTAGTCTAGATACAGTGCAACGAGTGTTAGTTTCCAAGATCTTTACAAGACTGGCGAACACTAAATGTCATGAAGAAAGTGAAGAGAAAGGAGGTTTATATAGGAAAGAGATTGTGATAGAAGACTGTGCAATGAAGTTTGTTGTTTTGTTAGATATCTGACGTGTGCTGTTTGGAAGAAGTGTTTGGATGCAAACAGAACTTACAAGAGATGAGTAAAGACTACTTTTCTACAATAGCGTTGTAGGCGAGGAGTGCGTAACATCAAAAGATGTCGTAATGTGTATTGGAACTATGCTAGCCAAACATTACGTAATTATTATGGTAGCGAAGTACGTGTAGTAGGTATTACAATGTGTGCGAGAGTATGGTGAATCAGTGTTTGTGATGATGAGGAAAATATGACGTGTACATGCAAACAAATGATGATGTCATGATGCGAGAACGTCAGAGACGCTACAGAGCTCCCCTCCTAGTGAATGAGTAATGAGCGATAACTAGCGCGATAAAGGGAGAGCAAGCAAATGGGATAAGCGAGAGAGTGTCAGAAATAGGCGGGAAATCTGACTTGACGACCAGCTCGTGTTTGGCGTGGCGGAGGCACGTCGAATGCGAGCGATGGCGTCGGCTTGGTCGGATGGCAATGGTCGACAGACTGGTTGTCATGGAATGCGGGTTTGAGTCGGTCGATGGATACTGTGTCGGAGCGGCCGTTGAGGTCGAGGCGGAAGTACTTATCATGACGTTCCAGGACTCGGTGTGGACCAGTGTAAGGACGTTGGAGGGGCGTTCGTGTTGCATCTGTGCGAATGAAGACATGAGAGCATGTCGAGAGGTCAGCTGGAATGAACGGATGCTGGGTGGGTGGCTTGCGGGGTTGTGTAGGGCGGAGCTCGGACATGGCTTGTTTGAGGCGGCTGACATAGGACGTCGGATCCGGAAATGGCTCAGGCTCGTCAGTGAGGAAATCACTTGGCAGGCGGAGGTGGCAACCGTAGACCATTTCTGCAACTGAGCAGTTGAGGTCAGCCTTCAGGGAGGAGCGAATGCCGAGCAGGACTAGTGGCAGATGTTCCGTCCAGCGCTGTGGATTGTCGGAAGCTCGGAGTGCAGCTTTCAGTTGTCTGTGAAAGCGCTCTACCATGCCGTTGGCAGCCGGGTGGTAAGCCGTTGTGCGAATGCGAGATGTGCCAAGTAGTGACATGAGCGATGACCACAGGGATGACTCAAATTGGGCACCTCGGTCGGTTGTGAGCACAGTGGGAACACCAAATCGGGCGACCCAGGTGGCAACAAACTGGCGAGCGACGGTTTCGGCTGTAATGTCGGGAATAGGTACTGCTTCGGGCCAGCGAGTAAAGCGATCTACCATTGTCAAGAGGTAGCGAGACTCACTAGAAGATGGAAGCGGGCCTACGATGTCGACATGGACATGGGAGAAACGAGCATCAGGTTGCTTGAATGCACTTACGGGAGATGTGGTGTGGCGCTGAACTTTAGACTGCTGACAAGCGTGGCAGGTACGACACCACTCACTAATATCCTTGTTCATCGCGGGCCAGACGTAGCGAGCTGTAATCAGGTGCCTGGTAGCGCGGGTACCAGGGTGGGAGAGGCCGTGAAGCGAATTGAAAACAGCACGGCGCAGCTTGGCAGGTACATACGGGCGGGCAGACGCAGTAGAGGTGTCACAGATGAGCGAGTGATCAGTCATGGGCAGAGCTATAGATTGCCAGCATAGCGAAGTGGATGGATCCTTACCAGGACTGGGCAAGTCTGGATCATCTTGTTGAGCGGCGGCAAAGGAAGCTGTGTCAATGGCAGTGATGGCAGAGACGGGCTCATCGGGTAGGTGGCATCGTGACAGTGCATCAGCGGCAGCATTCTGAGAACCCTTGACATGACGAATATCTGTCGTGAACTCAGCAATGTACGACAAATGGCGCTGTTGACGCGGGCTGTGGGTCTGTGAACGGCTGTGGATGGCATGTGTCAGAGGCTTGTGATCGGTGCACACATGGAAGACACGCCCTTCCAGGAAGTGTCGGAAATGCTTAATGGCTAGGTAAATAGCGAGGAGCTCTCGACAGAAGGTGCTGTAGCGTGTCTCAGCAGGCTTTAACTTGCGTGAAAAGAAGGCAACAGGATAACACTCACCATCTAGCTCTTGTTGGAGGACGGCACCAACAGCAATGTCTGAAGCGTCGACCATCAAGCTGTAGGCGGCATCCGGGCGAGGATGGTGAAGTGTGATGGCCTCAGTGAACGCAGCTTTGACATCATTGAAAGCAGCGATGGCCGAGTCGGACCAGACGAGCGCGCCTTTGGTGCGGTGGCGTTTCTCAAGCATAGCGTGCAGAGGTGCGAGCTTAGCAGCAAGATGTGGCTGAAATCGGTGATAGAACGTGACGAAGCCGATGAACTCACGGAGCTTACGAACACTAGCTGGCTGTGGGAATTCACGAATGGCGGTCATGCGAGCGTCGAGAGGTCGGATACCTGAGGCAGTCACGTGATGTCCCAGGAAGTCAAGCTCATCCTGGCCGAACTGCGACTTCCGGACGTTGATCAAGATGCCATGTGAAGCAAGGCGGGAGAATATGCAGCGAAGGTGGGCCATATGTTCAGCGGGTGAGGCGCTAGCAATGAGCAAGTCATCCAGATATGCAAAGCAGAAGGGAAGGTCTGAAACTACCTGGTCAATGAAGCGTTGGAATGTCTGGGCTGCGTTGCGAAGGCCAAAGGGCATGCGGACAAACTCAAACAGTCCAAAGGGGGTGGTGATGGCAGTTTTCGGGATGTCGTCAGGGTGCACAGGAATGTGGTGGTATGCACGGACGAGGTCAATCTTAGAGAATATGATCTTGTCATGCAGGTGGGACGTAAAGTCTTGAATATGCGGGATGGGATAGCGGTCGGGGATCGTGCAGTCATTCAAGGCTCGGTAATCACCACAGGGTCGCCAGTCACCGGATTTCTTTGGCACCATATGCAGAGGGGATGACCATGCACTAGAGGAGGGACGAATAATGCCTAAATCTAACATGTGTTGGAACTCACACTTAGCGACAGCAAGGCGGTCGGGTGCCAGACGGCGAGGCTTAGCGTGGACGGGGTGGCCATCTGTGACTATGCGGTGTGTCACATTGTGCTTGACAGGCGAGTCACCAGTGGTCGGTCGGACAAGGTCAGGAAACTCACTCAGCAGGGCAGAATACTCACTAGGGCTATCAGTGTCCAGCAGGTTGGTAGCGGAGGTGCTGACATCCGAGGCGGATCCGACAACGGCAAGTTGAGTAGTGGAGTCCCGGAGACATCTGGCGGCCAGGTCGACAGTGAGTTGGAAGTGGCCAAGGAAATCCGCACCCAGGATCGGATAGCTGACGTCAGCAACGACGAAGACCCATTTGAAAGTGCGTCGGAGACCTAAGTCTAAATCTAGCAGCTGCTGACCGTACGTGGCGATGCTGCTCTGATTCGCTGCACGGAGGCGAGGGCTATTGCGATGAACACGACGAGACAGAGTTACGAATGACGGAGGAAGAACACTGACGGCGGCGCCGGTGTCGACAAGGAACTCGACGGACTGGGAGCGATCCTTGACGAATAGTAGGCGACCGGTAGCGGTATTCGAGGGGCCAACCACACTAGCGGTCGCGACTAGTGGCTGGCCTTCCCGTTTCCCGACAGGAATCGGCAGGGGTCTCGGCATTTGTTCGCCTTCGCACCGAACGCACGGTGATACCAGCAAAGGTCGTCGTGATTGTCACGGCCGGGAGACCTGGAGGCACTTGGGTGGCGTGACGGTGGCCCGGGACTACGCTCTCGTTGGCGGCCACGCTGGGAAGGGGCACCAGTGTCACGGGTCATCACATTCACAGCGGACGTCAGCTTGGCGAGTTCAGCTCGGAGCTGGGCCATCTCAGCCCTGTCAGCGGTGCAGGCCTGTTCCGCATCTGTGGACGCTGTAGATCTACATGATAAGGCCGTACTAGACCGAGCAGGGGCTGCACTCAGAGTCAGAGCGTGAACACTTGTACCGGTGAGTGGGTTTGAGCACGTGCTATCAACCATCTTGTCAGCAAGCGCGGCGAGGTCGGCCAGGCTGAGGCACCAGTCACGGGCAAACGCTGTACAAACAGCTTGCGCAGGATAGTCGGGTCTAGAGACTTACTGCCCGAAAGCGAGCGGAAGCGGAAGAACCAGCGTTGCTGGACATATTGCACTTTACTCACGTCGGGGGTCACCAATTTAGTAGTCTAGATACAGTGCAACGAGTGTTAGTTTCCAAGATCTTTACAAGACTGGCGAACACTAAATGTCATGAAGAAAGTGAAGAGAAAGGAGGTTTATATAGGAAAGAGATTGTGATAGAAGACTGTGCAATGAAGTTTGTTGTTTTGTTAGATATCTGACGTGTGCTGTTTGGAAGAAGTGTTTGGATGCAAACAGAACTTACAAGAGATGAGTAAAGACTACTTTTCTACAATAGCGTTGTAGGCGAGGAGTGCGTAACATCAAAAGATGTCGTAATGTGTATTGGAACTATGCTAGCCAAACATTACGTAATTATTATGGTAGCGAAGTACGTGTAGTAGGTATTACAATGTGTGCGAGAGTATGGTGAATCAGTGTTTGTGATGATGAGGAAAATATGACGTGTACATGCAAACAAATGATGATGTCATGATGCGAGAACGTCAGAGACGCTACACATCAACTGTTCAAACAAATTTTATAAAGTCTTTTAAAGGGGAAGTCCGGTGAAAAATTTAAATTTCAGGGTCGGTAGAGTTTCGGGCGCTGAGTCGAATGGTGTTGGTCCCACGTGTCTCCGACAAAGCGTTCTCAAGATATTTCCGTTTGAAAAACTGAGTTTCGGGGGCTGCGCCATGACGTCATGCGGCCGCGCCACACCCTCTGCAACGTCATAGCGTGCAGCTAGGTCAAAAGGAGTGCGTGAAAGCAATAGTGTCAGTGCTATTTCAAATGATTTGGCGACTGATAGTTTGGTGCAAGCGACCCCGAAGACCTGTAACTCCTTGTGAGAGTGAGGATGCAGCCATGGCTGACCTTCATGAGTTCGGTCTGGGGCTGAGAACCTCGGTATTCAGCTGAAGAAATGGCCACGCGGGCCGGTCAAGAGTGAGCGCTACTGAGTTTCCGACTGATGAAGAAGCAGCAGCTATTGCAGACGAGGCTGATCAGATCGCTGGAGAGCAGGGTCGCCAAAATGGAGAAGAGTGATGCGAGTGCTCTAAAATGTTGTTCCATATCGATTAGATTCGCTTAGACTCCAGTAGCCTGCCACATGGTGATGTTTTGGTGCGAACTTGGAATATTTCGGACTACTCAATTGGAGAACAGTGCAGGCTCTTTGAACCACGGGCACAACTCTTCGCTCGCAACGCTATGGAATCTGAAAGTTCTAGGTCCGTGAGCTGTTCGCTGTTTTGTCACTTGTCACGGTTGTGCACTCATCGCTGTAACATAATAATAATGAGGCGGGTGCGGAAAACTAAAATTTTCTTTCTCAAAGCACAACCACCGGCACCGGCAAGGAGAAACGCACGTTCTCTGACTGCATGACTGTACGACTGATACGAGTGTAGTACATGACAAGTGCGTGTGTTGACTAGTTTTCTGAGTCTTGTGTCAGTTGTGACTCGAGTCTTGTACATACTACCCCAGCACGGCAGTGCGGGAGTAGTTCCGTCTGTGATGAGTTTGTTGACTGCACTACACAGTCTACAGCTAGATAACACACTGCACGCACTGCATGCACGCAGCGCAGAGCGCGTAGAGGCTGACGGAAAACTCCGAAAAGTCCAACTCGGAAACGGCTATAATACGGTATAACCTCCAGGTTTACCAAGCTGAAAATCACAGGGTACGTAGTGTTTGTAACACTGAAGCGAATGGTCTTGGTCCGAAGAAGCTGCGACAAACGGTTCCCCAATCGAACGCGCTCCGAATATGGCCATTTTTGTACACAACTAGATGGTGTGGCTACCTGGCTGCACGCTGTGACGTCATCACCTGGATCTGGGTGATGCGCGCTCAAATTCGCACATGTTCGATTGGGCGTATCTGACGAACTATAAGCCGCAGCCTCCTCGGACAAAGACCATTCGACACAGCGACCCGAACTCTACGGACTGTGAAATTTAAATTTTTCACCGGACTTCCCCTTTAAAAAGAGATTACAGTAGTTGAAGTGTCCCATTACTGCCCGGGGGGGGGGGGCCGGGGGGGGGGGGATTAGAACGGTTTCTATCATTTTTGGAGATTTTCAGTGGAATTGTCATGGCGCCGATGACGTCCGATCAGATCGACCATCTCCACGCACTACGTGACGTACATGTAGCTATTCCAAACTCTTCGAAACTAATCCACCTCTCCCATCGGGTGAGGTTGTGGAGTTTCGAGGAGCTTCGTTTTTCTGAAGAGGCCAATAAGGCTACCTCTTCAGAAAAACGAAGCTCCTCGAAAAGTCAAAGAGTGACAATTCGAACGCGCCCTAACTTGGCCTAAGACTAGTAAGTAAGAGAATGGCCAATCATGCCATTACTGGCATTACTGCCATTAGTCATTACATTTTTGACGATTTCTGCTGATGTGAATGATGGAGTCTTGAGAAGTCGACTAGTAGTGAAGAGCAGTGGAAGAAGTCCAGCAGCAATGTCTCGTAGCCTTGTGTGTGTTCGTCGCCAGGCACTTGGCCTGTATCGATCCCTCCTCCGCACAGCGCAGCATTGGGAGGCGAACGATGTGGAGGACACCGTCAATGAGCGAAACTACATCAGACATGAAGCTAAAGAGTTGTTTGCAGAAAACAAGCATGTAAGAAGTTCTGGTCATTGATTACAGCTCTGCTTTTTTCGTTGTTGTAAAATGTAGCGTTTGTTTCGAATGGTGAAGGAAGGAAATGTTTATCGAAGGAAATATTTTCGTAAGACAGCAGCTAGCAGTGCAATAGCTGCTGGTGTATACATTATAGTTTATTCGCTCACTGCACTGAGAGTGAGAGCAATTCAAGGCGCAAGATACTTGAATACTCGGATGGAGAGCCAAGTATTATTTATAAAAAGGAGCAAGGAACTACAAATTACAAGTTGGTCCTTTTTACTTGTTATACTTTAATACGATTTCATATTATTAATTTTGTATTTGTAGGGGAGACACTAACAAGAAAGTAAGCAGCAGAAGTGGATGCAGAGGTGACACACTGGATAAAAAAATACGGCATATCACGTACACCGCCATCACCACCACGTTCCACGAAGCTGCAATTTGAAACACATTTCTATCTCCAAATCTACGTCATCATGGGCAGAGGTTTCTGTTTTGAACAGTAAAAGTCAGCAACTGCGTCTGGAACGTGACCGAGCTCTTCTCTTAGCTTCAGATAATAAAATACAATACAAGTACAAAATGGGCGAAGCTATGACGTGAAGATCAGTGTTTTTGGCATTCCCTTTCTGGTCTCGTGTTGCACATGTGCCGCTTGTAAAAACCTCCCCATTATCCTGTTGTAGCTGCATACAGTACAGCAGTTGTAGATATGCAGACATGCACTGTCCATGTCTTTAGGGCTCGCTCACACTGCGACCATGAGCACGCGTCCATGCGTCAGAAAAACGCAGAAACGTGGGAGTCGTGCTCACACTAGGCCTCGTAGACGCGTAGACGTGAAGTTGTCACACAAACTTTACGAATTGCAGTTCGTATCCAAAAGAGTTCGTGCGTTTCCTAATAAAGTTGTGGCCCGTTTTGGATGTAATTTTTCACATGTTGCATATGCGCATGTTGGAGGAAGTGCCTCGTGGCTCGTATTCTTGAAGTCGACGAAAATAATTCATACAATCAGGTAGGTTTGGACTCTTGAGGGACTGCCATGCCGCTGACATCCAAGCGCTTTCGCTTTCGCTTTCCTGACCTCGTGGTCAGAGCAAGTGCCAGTGCAGTGGAAATTCCGGTAGTGGTTTCTTTCGTCTGTTGCCGAGATGAGAACTGTATTTTCCGATGATATGTAACTGAAATGTCTTGAGGTATGGCATTCCATCATTGCAGAAAAGTAGAGAAAGATGATTTCCGAAACCGAAAAGCCAGACCAAGCTGCCATCGTATTGAACGAGTACACTGTAGAAATTGGTCACTGACCCGATCACAACGAAGCAACTACAAAAACAAAAACAAAATCGACATCGTCCAAAAAGGGCAAAGAATGGCGGTGCGTGCGTGCAGGACCACAACTACAAAATTTTAAAAATGTGCAAATGTCGAGGTGACATCGACACCCGCCGATTTTCATGAATCAACACACCGGAATTTGAGAAATTGAACATACTTCAGGCCAGGTTGTACACAAATATGCTTCACGTCTACGATCATGTTGCCGCCAAGTCGTGGCACCCCCCTCCGGAGGTCGCGGTCACGATTTGAAACGTGGCCGCGACGTTTTGGTCAAGTTCATGCCGTTGCCATGCAACTTGGCCGCATGGCCGCATGGACGCTGGTTTTGGTCGCGGTGTGAGCGCGCCCTAAGCGGGATTCACAGGAGCATTTTTTGCGATGCGATGCTACGGCCGCGAAACCGAGAAATCCCCAAATCGCCTCCATCTCGCAGCTCACGCAACTGTCGCAACTGGCCCCGGATGATCGCAGAAGTTGAGCTTGGCCCAACTTTAGCGATGCGACAAGCGACGTGGCGTACGATTTTGACCTTGTCTGCAGCAAAGTACAAAGGTTCAAGAGTTGCTTGTAGATTTGTAAAAGTTGTACCAAGCCACGCGAATACCATGGTGACATACTTACCTGCATTAAACTTCGCGCCAAATCAGCTAATAAAGCGACGTCACATCGCTGACTTCTTCTGTGAATGGTATTTCGCGAGTTAAACTCATGCTGTGTGGTGTTGTGTTGTGTTGTCCAGGAGACGGACCCAGAGCGGATACAAGCGCTACTGGAGGAGGGGAAGTCCCGGATCCAAATCGGTGAGTGTGGTTATGTGTTCTTTAGCAACATGGAAACACAGGCAGGCAGGCATAGTGGGATGGTCTAAGACCATGATTGAGAAACAGAGGGTACCAGGTTCAAGTCCTACTTGGAAGCGGAAGGATTTTTTCCAGCCGTGCTGCGACCCACAGTTTCGTGGCCTGGCACGAGGGAAACATGGATGCAGTGAATGGGATTTTCGGTCTTTCACCACTTTGTGGTGGGTCTGATCTACTCACCTCCCACCGCTTAGGAGCTGCATCTGCGCCTTGATCCAAGAGGGTGGTGGCGTTCCTGCGGATGCGGAAAACTGGGCCTTCGGCCGAGTCTCACGCGAACCGTGAATTTTTTTAACACAATCATTGTTCGCCTTTGTGTCTATAACAGGACATACTCTATAAGCGTATCCGAGTGCCGTGTTTCCCCGATTGTAAGTCGCACCCCCATTTCCAGGTCCATGCCATATTGTTTGATATATTCACTTCAGTAATAAGTCATGCTCGATTTTAAGTCGCATCCCTTTGCTGGCCCTGAAGTTAGTTGTAAAAAAGGTGCGACATAATTATATTTAGAGAAATACGGTACTCGGACCCAGGTGAGTTTTCCAGCTAATGACACGTATTCACTGAAGGCGCACGTGACTAGCGCTGCGGGGAAACAAGTAGGTTTTCTCATTTGCGTACATAGTAAATTCGCAATTTACTCTTGACTTGTTGAGCCGTCTCGAACGTTGTATTCCGCAAATTCCACTTCGTTGGGTCACTACTATTGTATAACCTTGAAGACCAGTAGTCTATTTCGAAAGAAACTCACAAGTTCCAGCGATTAGAGAAACTTCTTTTCCACGCATTTGTATGCATTTGTATGCGGAATCGAACAAGTGTCCCCCCAGCGTGGCTCACGTGCGCCCATACCATGTATGCAGCGTGGGCGTCCGCCATTTTAGATGAATACGTGCCATTACTGCGATAGAGGAAATTTTAGCTGCCGAATAATTTCGTCCAACTTCAAAGGAAGACATTGCGGTCTGTTTGGTTGAAATGGTTTTGTTGAAAAATGTACTGAAAGGCTAGATATGTCGGCATATTGGCCTGCATTAAGTTTGATCGAAAGGTTTTTGGGACCAGAAATGACAAAATTTAATTCCCGACGAATAATTCTGCTACTACGATTTTCTCACTACCGGCCATCCGTAATTGTCCCAATGTACCAAGCAAAAGACGGGAGTAGACCTTTCTTCAAAAATAAGTATAATTATGTATTTGTATTTGTGTTCACGATGAGCCTTACCCTCCTTGTTTGTGTTTGTGTGCGTACATGGGTGCGTGCCCGTGTGTGCGTGTGTGTGTGTTTTCTTCTTCTTTCAGCTCAGCACTACAACAATCCATACCCGAGACCGGTAAGTTCTACCATATGCTGTATGCATGGCTGCAGAGTGCAGTGATCATTACTGTTCGGCCCACATGTGATCAGCACAGGACCTGAAAGCGATGATGTCAAATATATAAATAGTATAATTATAATAACTTCTGAATCAATTTCGATCCGCTTTGTCCATAGCAGAGCGCAATATCTGGTGGGCAGGCCCTGCATGTGGCATGCTGGCGTGGCTTGTTTTACTGCTACAAGTAGTAGTGAGTTCCCTGTCCACCCAAGGCGGCACTGATTTCTCACCCAACAGCCTACGAGCAGTATCCATACTTGTATTACTACTGCTCCCGGGACGAAGTCTCACGGACAAAATATTGTTTTTAGATACGGCCGTAAGTGTCATGTTTGCATCGTCTTTGACGGCGGTGCTGCTGCTGCTGGTGGTGGTGCTGCTGCTGCTGATGGCGGCGACGATGGTGCTATCGGTGGTGGCGGGGACCGTTCTTTTGTCCTCTACAATGAGCAGCACAATAATCGTATATTGCTGTTTTTCCCCCGCTTGTGTTTTGCTGCTGCTGCCGCTGCTGCTTCTGCTGCTTGGGTGGCTGCAGATGAACCTATCACAGAGGGTGGTCATGAACTCGCGTAACAAGGCGGCGCAGAAGCGTCTCCACCGCCAGTCCAAGCCAATCTATCTCTACTCGTCGGAAGTCTGAAGGTTTAAAGCGGCTCTGTTGTACACGCCGGTTACTGGTGATGCCGGTACGGTCTCGATGAGTCAGCGCTCTAGCAATACGCAATACTCACGGCACCTTTTCTAGACTTAAAGTGGGCCTGTTATGCGGGCTGGGCCACGTGTGTTGGCCTTTTGGCTTGTTACTGTGTGTGTGTGTTCAGTGTGTGCTCAGTGCAGAACAGAGAGCTAGCACTGTACAATAGTGCAACAGTGTTTTACCGCGTGTGCATGGTCCACGCATCTCTCCAAACTACCGGACCAGCTACGGGCTGCTGAGCCACTGTGCGATATTGCGACAGTGTTTTTAGGCGTGCACCTGTGGACGCATCTGTCCAACTACTGTACTGCCTACTGGACCCGCTACGGACCTTGTACTGCTTATAGTGATCATCATGTGTATGTGCCTGGAAGGCTGAAGCCTTGCTAGCTCAGCATCATTGCTACTGCTTCTTTAAACAGGTGTTACCTCTGCTGCTGCTGCTGCTGCTGCTGCTGCTGCTGCTGCAGCCACTGTTGCTGCTGCTGGTGCTGCTGCTACGGCTACTGCTGCAGAGCAACTAAGTAGGTGACTGGTTCTGTCAGAGTTGAGTTCTATATTCTTCTACACTTTCTGGTTTGCCCAGAGAGTTCATTTATATCGAGATATCTGCAATGAGATTCGTTCAACACTGCTGTCTATCCATGCACGCACTGTGCGCGGCAAGTATGTGTGTACAAACTGAGTACAGTAATACAGTTATTTCTACGTATTCTCTTACAACAACATACAATACCACAGCAACTGGCGTCGACAGCTGGCAAAGCAATGAAAGATCTATGCAGTGTGGCTGTTGCACTTTCTTGCCCGGGCATTGTGGACTAATAAAGTCATGCTGTGTGGCGTGCCACATTTTGTAGGTACAGTTTTGTTTGCCTCGATCTGGACCTAGGCATGAACGATGGCATGTCAAAGTGACTCTGACTCTGGCTCAGGTCGACGCTAGAGTGTGTAGTAATCACGCCTGTATACAGTGCTACAATCTCTCTAGACTCCTCTTCTCCTCCATGCACTCTCACTGCCAACACATGGCTATCCTCGGTAGCCGAATGGTACCGTTCACTCTTTATTGTTAACGGTGCTGATCAAAGAAATCCACTCGGTTCACCAAGTACGGGCTGGGTGTTTGCAGCCCTTATACCATAATTTTTTTTAACTTCGGCCAGTATGACTTCTACAGTACTTTGTCTTGGGGGTTGGACATGGGAGAGTTGCCATACCGGGGTGGTGAGCCCGCCGGGAATGCACCTCGCTTGACTCTGTCTCTACCGAGCGAAGAGGACCCACACCTTGATCTGGTGAGCTGCGTCGTGGGGATTTGCAGTCAGATGTGCGACCGCGGTGCTCGAGCCCGCGACCTTTCGATCTCGCAGGCAAGTGCAGTACACAATGTACTACCGCCCCCCCCCCCCCCCATAATGCCTTACCCAGCCCGCATGGTTTGTTTTATACGGGCAATATGCGACCTATTTAGTTGCTGATCAGTGGAGTTTGAATGTTTATGCTGGAAACCCGGTTGCAGCTGTATCCGACCACTAGACTTGGGCGGCTGTGAAACCGTTGCGGTTACTGTACCGTACAAGCGGTTTTTCAAGCACATGTACAAGTTAAAAGTTGATCCAGGTCATTGAAAAGTTGTAATTGCTTTGTAAAACAAGCCCTAAAGTTCGCAGTGATAAGACAATGTCCTACAATACCCGATAGTACTATAAACGAGCATGTCATTGAAAGACAATACATAATTCCACAATGGAAAGCTGGAGGTCTTGAGGGAGAAAACACTGCACGGCTCTAACATAAAACATGACATTATCAATGAGACACTAGTGTAATAAGTATCTATTATTGCACGATTAAAGAGGTCAATATATGAAATATAGAACGAGTAAAAGACCGAGGTCCCCCGAGGTCTTTTACGAGGTCTATATTTCATATATTGACCGATTATGAGGGCAATAATAGATTTATCACGACATAGTATACCTAAAACTGGTTTTGCTTTGCTATAGGAAGAAAGGAATACTATTGTAATAGTATAATAGTATGTACATATGCCGTTTACATTGGACATTACTTCTGTGTAAACCGAAGTTTTCAGTTGTCTCTTGTAGTATGTTCCCCAAGTTCTTTGACTGAGAATCTGACAGTTTGGGTTCAAATCCCAGCATTTGGCTTCAGATTTTTCTTCTTTCAGTTCTGATTTTTTTCTAAGTTGAGGAAAAAGTTCTAAGTCCTCGGGCTAAGTGGTCAATAATAAGTGGTCAATATAAGCGGTCAATATATGCTGATATTTGACCGCTTAGAGATCACAAGTTTCTGTGGGGGTCAATAATAAGAGAGTGATAAAGGCTAATAGTGGAAAGTAATAATGAACGCTGTAAGTGTCAGAGACTTCGGATTCTGTGATAATAATCTGTAATTCTGTAATTCCGTAATTCCGTAATTACTACCATTCTCAAGTTAGTAAATATAGTGTATGTGTATTTTGTTTTGGCCAAATATGGCGCAGCAGTAAAGAACGATGAAAAGTCCGGAACAGATTGAAATGAGGTGCCTGATTGTCCTGTGCACGTTTGCATGCTCGTGCACACATAATACCATGTACCATGTATACGCCCGTCGCAAGAGAAGCACGCAAATCTGCAAATGCCCTGGATGTGCACCCACAGATTTCTCTTTATAGCAACGATAGCGGATCTGATTATGAATACAATACACACACACGCACCTCAGTATAATAGGATCGTGTATCTCATTACTATCAGATCGGTAATCATATAAATTCTAAATCAATACTCGATCATCTGGCAATGTGTCCTACGCTTATCTCAACTGATTGGCATGTCGTAGTCACTGCGATGATTGCTGCGTGATGCCGAGTGGCCGTGCTGTTGTTTGCGCAGCTGTGTGTACTCGGAGACCTGTGCCTTCGTGTCCACGTCCACGCTCTGGTATTTATCCACCGTGGTCAGCGTCGTGTCGTACTCACTCTCGGAGCCCTCCCCCGCTGTCGCCGAGGCCGACCCTGCTGCCATGACGACGGCTGATGCTGGTCTTGCGTTTTGCGAACGCGGCACCTCGCTGTATCCGCCAGCCTGGTGAGCGGATGGGTTGCTTGTGACGAGGGCTGCCGAGGACGTCTGCATTTCCATTCCAGCATGATGCATGGCATTGCTACCACGGCTACTGCTAGGTGTGAAGCTCTTCGACGCGGTGGAACGTCTCTTGCAGAACAGGAGCAGTATGATGGTACCCAGCACTATCAGGCAGATTGCTGCTCCGATGACTCCGCCCAGGACTGTCGCCGTCAACAGACTCGAGCTGCTTTCCTCGTCTACGAGTACAGCAGAAGTAACCGTGCGCAAACACACGGTGTCACGTGCACACCCACACATACACATACACACACAAATATTATATTATATACACACCTGCGCAGACATGCCCATCTTGGAAGCGAGGATACCGAACAAGCTACGCTCGTATGTTAGCACAGCAACTTGGGCTGACATTGCATCATTCAACATCTTACAAGGGCGAGTATTGGACCACTACTTTAGCCTGGTATTGCAACACTGCAAATTGAAGGGGCTTTCCTGGCCAATGGAGCCCTGTTTTGATTTCTTCTTCTATTAACTTCTTGGCAATGGCTCAAGAGAATAAGAGCTAGGAAGTGAGAAAGAGAAGGAAGACAAAAGGCACAGACCTGAGAACATGTACAAACGTGGTTAAGGTTTCGCTGCAAGATTGGATTTCGACATAAAGAACACCACAAACGCTGCCGCAGCAAGCACCATGGTCACCAACACTACCGTCATAGCAACCACCAGCGCTGCCGCCGTCATAGCAACCACCAGCGCTGCCGCCGTCATCGCCGCCACCAGCACCACTGACATCTCCAGCAACTCCAAGGCACCAGCCGCAACACCAGCCGTAGCAGCAACACCAGCACCCCTGACAACTGCCGCAACACCAGCCGCAGCAGCAGCAACACCAGCAGCAACACAAGCAACAACAACCGGACATTCTCACCTGAGGTCTGGGTAACTTGCGGTGTAGTGACTTGACCATCCTGTATACCCCTGGCGCTGGTTTGTCCTGGCAAAGCGTGGTCAGTCTGGGACGACATCGTCACAGGGGAGAATGAAGTCGCTGCAGCAGCAGAGCTTGGTCTGGCAGTCGTCGTCTCTGTTGTCAATGGCAATGTGGTTGGTGCCTCCGTTGTCGGTGGCTGCGTTGTTGATGGCTGTGTGGTTGGTGGCTGCGTTGTTGATGGCTGTGTGGTTGGTGGCTGCGTTGTTGGCATGTTAGTAGGTGTGGTGGTTGGTGTGGTGGTTGGTGTGGTGGTCGGTGTAGTGGTTGGTGTAGTAGTTGGCGTTGTGGTTGGTGTGGTAGTTGGTGTAGTTGTCGGTGTGGTAGTTGGTGTAGTAGTTGGTGTTGTGGTAGGGTACGATACAGGCGGTGGGGAGATGTTGGTGGTATTGGCTGCAGAGAAATTGGATGATACAATACAATCATTAGCGCTGTGAACTTCGCTATTCGGCAGCACAAACTATACAGTGAAAAATGTACCGGTATTTGATCAGGTGCGTCGGACACTTAACAGTCACTATGGTATTAGCTGCACCACACTTCTCCTTTCGTATCCCGTCAACGAATAACAATACACGCTTGGGAAAGAGTTATGCAGCCTTTTTTACATTTATTACTGGCTCAGTATCCGAGTTAAAACAGTACACATTTGGGCTCTAAATTTTGGAGATGTTCAGCGGAGACACCCCCCTCCTCCCCCCCCCCCCCCCCAAGAGGAAAAGATTAATAATACTTCAAGTGGCTGGCCATACCACCTCAAGATACCCGCCACCCCTGTAGCTTCTGACCTCCTGACCCTAAACTCAAGAAAAATATTCCTGGGTGGATAAAATGGGTGATTCGGGGGGGGGGGGGGGGCTGAGGTGTGTAGTCTGAGGTGTTGTAGCGACCAAGACCCTAAAGTATGTAGTCAGGATACATGTAGAGACACTGCACAGTACTGCACAGTACTGGAGACTTACGCGACAGAATGGCATACAGCGTGTCTACACACACAGTTGTAGCTGTCTTGCCAGCCAGGGAGACAGTGGGATAAAGCATGTCAACGTCCTGAGTCCCTCCACCAGTCCTCTCAGCATGCACACCGATTTCTGACGTTCCACACCCCAGTCCAGCTGATAATCTGGCAAGGATACGTTAAAGTAATCAATAACAAAAGGAAACAATTGGTTAGAAAGGTGTTCGCTCCCCACACCGGAGCTCGCGCTTTTCCGCCGACATGACTCGACACGTTACTGACTCACGCCTGCCATACAGAGCACACGAGAGACAATTGATGCTATATAAACCGGGAAGCAGAGGTGAAGTTGCATGTGTGGGCAATTGCTCATTTTCAAGAGGTCAGTCATAACATAAAGGACCGAGAGAACGATGTAGAAATTCGATCTCTCTCTAGAAGATTGGGGTTATCCGAATACAGGATTGCACATTGTATGACTCAATGCACGGACAAATATAGAAAAGTGAACATATCCTAGTTTTGGTCATCCATTTTCTGTCAGTTACGAGATTCCATTGATGAACGTGAGAAGACAACGTTCTTGAACAAAACATTGCTACTTTGTTGTGTGGCACGAGCGCGGGTTTCATTTTATTCATGGCTACATATAGAGTTCTCTATGCTGTAAGTCAACAAATATTCGGCGCATACCTATTTTCGGCTATTTTCGGCCTGGTCATGTTCGGCTGAAAATTTGTTCTACTTTGGCTACTACAACTGTAACTAGAACTAGAACTAGAACTGAGAAGAAGAGTTGTTCTCCAGGTGTGCACCGGAGTAAGTTCCTTTGTTGCCTTCTCTTTCTTGCCTCCTCCACTCGGCTACGTATTACATTGGCAGTAGCCAAATTTTTGTTTTGCAAGGTTAGTGTGACAGTGTATACAGGAGGCAGCAGTACAGACTGAAATTTGAATGGGCCGAGAATGTGTAGACTTACAGCCTAGAAATCAATCATCCGTGTCCGAGTACGGCAAAAGACAGTTCGAGACTCACCCCAGCCCGCTTGCCACCTGCAATCCTATGAAGTCACCTTCCTCGACGTAGAGTCTCGTGTTAGTAAATGCATGTATACCACTAACACCGGCCGTCTCATTCAGTTCAATGAACTGCGTGTAGAGCGAGGAGTTTGTCTGCACCACACTCGACCCAGCCAGGCGGTAGTGTAAAAGACCAGACACCTGACGCCAGATCTGAGGCAGAAACATACGCACGCACGCGCACGCACACGCACGCACACACACACACACACACACACACACGGGTAAACCATCTCATCTATATCTCTCAATCTCACCACGAAATGTGGAAAAGCAGTGATAAAAACAGGCCATCCAACCAGAATTGTATGAGCACTATGTACGGAATGAATGCATTGGATAGGGAGATTCTGCTTTGTTAGAAATGTAGAGCAGTTGCGTGAAGAATGTGTGTGACATAGACACACGACAGCGTTGCATGTTTGGCATCCAGATTTCCACATGTCCTTTCAACAGTCCTGCGGTGGCCTGGCAAGCCATCGGAGTTCCCCATAGTGTAAGACCAGATATTGTGTGCGTGTGTGTGCGTGTGTGTGTGTGTGTGTGTGTGTGTGTGTGTGTGTGTGTGTGTGCACGCATGTGTGTGTGTGTGTGTGTGTGTGTGTGTGTGTGTGAATATGTATACGTGTGTAGAGGGAGAGTATAGGTTTTCACTTACTGTGATCTGCAGTACGGAAGCGCTGGCAGTTCTTAAGTACAGACCAGTCAGCACACTACCGTTACATGTCACATTCAGGCTGGGAAAGAGCAGGTATGTCAGATGTGCATTATCTGCAAACCATGACAACGACATCGCGTGCACACACACACACACACACGCACATGCGTGCACACACGCACACACACACTCTTGCATACACACACACACACATGCGTGCATGCACACACACACACACACACACACACACACACACACACACACACACACACACACACACATGCGTGCACACACTTGTACTTGTACTTGTTGCTCACTGCCAAAACTGGTCACGTGGGTCTCCCCGGGAGAGGGGAGAGAGACTCAAAAGGAATCTTGGAAAGATGACTCAATTGGCTATTGAACCGCACAACGGCCGACACCCCCTGAAATCCCCAAAACTCTGGGTGGACTTGAAAATGATCCCACTTATGGGCTCACCACACCTCAGTAAGTGGGTGAGGACAAGGTGCAGAAAAAGGACTGACGGCATCAGGGTATCCGTCCTGGGATCCAACTGCAGTTACCCCTGCCCCCAGTGAAGGTAATACTTGCTACTAGTGTGGGTGGCTAAATCAGAGTGGATCTGATATAAGCTTCACTAGCACCATTGATTACACAAGAGTTAATCTAGCCAGAAGCAGTCCATGGTTAACAGGTATGTATACTTCAAACAGAAAGTATATGAACCCTGGAACCAACAAAGGTGGCAGATACAACATTACACCTTCAAGTAGCCGAGCCCGTTGGCAACAGACCCAACACAATCAGGCATAAGTGTACCCACCAACCGAACTAGCTGGCACACACACACACACACACACACACACACACACACACACACACACACACACACACACACACACACACACGCACACACAGAAGATTGCTGCATTAGGGATTGGTACATCCGCAAGGTGACTATTCTCCTCTGAATTGCCAATACATGTTGAAAAGCAATGAATCTTGAATTCAAGGGCAGCATTTTGCCATGAATTTCCACAAAATTAATGCTGACATGAACTCACGTACATGTGACAGACTTAGCTGCTAACACACTCTGCAGGTCCTTGGTTGCAAGCCTTATCCTGCTCTCGCTAGATGTTCCGATCAGCTGAGCGCAACCATTCGATGACACTGTGCGGTGGGACACGCAAACAGATAATACATATTAACTATTATGGATATTAGCAGGGGCATTGGGACCAGTGCGTCAGGTGTGGCCAAACACGCATCAACAATTTCATGTAGAGGGCTTTAAAGCAAACCAATAAGGCTCTTTGGACCCAATTTTCCAATTTGTTCCACGTGGGAGGCACCCCGGACCCCCACCTCTTTATAGCCAAACCAAATATCGAATATCCTCCGACGCCCCTGATGCTAGTCATTAGTTCCAGGGATTGGGAATGGTAAAGTCTTTAAAAGAAGAAAATTGACCATCAGTACCAGGACTCAAACAAGGGAGGGACGTTCACTATAGGCCAGCGATGCTCTGAAAGCTTAGCTGTGGTGTAGCCATCATCATCATCCCAGCAGAGACTGTTCAACATCACAGCTCAGAATTCTGCGTATCACTTTAGTTGGTGTGGCACTGTCACAAACACAAGCAATGCCCGTGTGGATGAGGTTTTCAATTTTTCAGACGCATTACTATAGCTGGTCCAAGTATAACATTTCGATACCAAGGGCCGGGAAAATTATTGGTTAGTCCTTCGTATGCATGTGTGCGAGAGGCGTGCATGCAAACATTGCTCAAGAGATCAAGTAACTACGTTCGGTGCACGGTTTTTCAGAGTTAGCGCACGCAAGATTTAAGTGTACTAGCATCTCAGGTAGCCACCGGCATACCATGCACCACCGCTACCACTGCCAAGGCATTAGCAGAGACACCAGCAGCAGCACCACCACCACCAGCAGCAGCAGCATCAGTGGCAGAAGCATCAGCAGCAGCAACAGTCGCAACACCAACAGCAGCAGCAGCGGAAGCAGAAACCGTCAGCAGAATGGGCTGCAACAGTTGTATCAGCAAGAACAAGAGCACCAGTACAAGCTGTAACAACATGAACATGATCAGCAACATCACGTCATCACGTCATTAGTAGCTGCCGCTGGCACAATCCCAGTATCACTACCATAAAGCACTGCCAGAGCGGCCCGTCTCGCGAGAGCGCCCCACCTTGATTTTACAGCCAGGGAAAGGAAAATCGCACGGCAGTGTGCAACGAAGTTTGTACGGCGTGATAATCTTAGTGTACTAAGGTCACACTTAGCAGGTTTTCTGTGGAGCTTGTGTCCGCTTGAAGGTACTGATTGTCTGCAGAACGTGCAATATGTGTACAAGGTTCATGTCGTATGACTTACAGACAGCAGACCACCTCCACAATGCGACCACGAAAGGATGAGATGGTGGGGCGCTCTGGCGGTACTTTACGGTATAACTAACCTGCACAGTGTCCACGTGTCTTGGTAGTAGCCTCATCACATACGCATAGTGGAGTAAGCTGACCTTCAACACACTGGTACCCTGTACTGTTGCACACTTGCCCTGTACACTGTGTTATGTGAACGCATTGACCACTGGATGGATAGAAGCCTAGTATAGACAACACACACACACACACACACACACACACACACACACACACACACACACACACACACACACACACACACACACACACACACACACACACACACACACAATAACACACACACACACACACACACACACACACACACACACACACACACACACACACACACACACATACACACACAATCAAAGGGGAACACCATTAGTACGTACAAATGCAGGTCGGCTAACGAGACAGGGGCGTAGCAGCCGGTCCGGCCGGTCCGGCTTTGGCCGGACCATTTTTTTTGCCTGACCACGGCCAAAAATGCCCAGAATGCAGGGATTTGCACCCTAATTTCAAATTTTGCACGGGGACACATCCGCCCCCCCCCCCCCTCCTGCCACACCACCTCCAACGGTGTTAGCGCATTGACAGCTCTCACATTGTACACTCGCACGCCTTAATGACAGTATTGCCGGGTGCTGAAAAACTGGATGAATCAGCCTCGTAGCCTAGGCCGGTCTTATTTTCGTGTAAGAAAAGTCATTGCACAGTTGAGTCACCAGGTAGGTATACATTGGTATGTTCTGCTTGGCGGACGTCTAACCTGTTCGTTCTTCAGCACCAGGCACTACTTTACTTAGTAGTATTTATTTTATTCCCGTAGCTATGCAGAAGACGTTACTTCAGTAACGTCTGGCGCTAGCCAGGGTCCACACAGCTTTAATTTGGTATTTGTTTGTGTGTTTGTTTGTTTGTTTGTGTCACGCCTGGCGCTAGCCGTATCTGACGGCAAAAAGGCATAGGATGTTATAAATTTTTCAATTCTCCTATTTTTTTTCCAGGCATATCCTGGGATTCGAACCCGCACTATCGCCCTACATGCATTCCTCCATACACTTCGCATTCATACCCATTCTTCCAAGTTGCTTCACGTTATTATCTTGCGTTTGAAAGCCCTATTTGAATATTGCGGGCAGCTGTTGGTGGCCAGCTGTGTTTGATGGTACGGTACGGTACGGGAGACGGTGTCGCATTACCCTCGATCGTACCTGTCCCGTACCTATCCCCTACCGTACCGTGCCATCAAAGACGGCTGGCCACAATGCATATTCAAATAGGGCTTTCAAATGCAAGATCACAATGTGAAACAACTTGGAAGAATTAGTATGTATGCGAAGTGTATCGGGGGATGCATGCAGGGCGAACGATAGTGCGGGTTCGAATCCCAGGTTATGTCTTAAAAAAAAGGATTTTTTTGAAGAATTTATAACATCCCTATGCTTTTTTTTGTCTAGGTCATCAAGGCAAAAAAGCATAGCGTAGGGCCCTGACCTTCCAAGCTCTCTCGTTTACCACAGGATGCCTCAACAGTGATATGCACAGCTCTTAAGAGGGCCGATAACGGGATACTGTAAATATACAAATTTTCGGCAGCTATTTAATTTCGGCTATATTCGGCACCGACCCAAAACGCCTAAATTAAAACGCCGATGAAATTTTTCACAGTATCTGTCGCACTATACCATGCCCTCTACCCCACGCCGAAAATAAATCGCCGCCGAAATGTCAAAATCGAGGAGTGCCGAAATTTTGCAGCGCTGAAATTTTGTATATTTACAGTAAGTGAAAAAGAAAAGAAAAGAAAAAAGAAAAAGAAGAAAAGTAGATGTGGACAGCGAGCATCACAAACATTACCTTCATGTCACATACAGTTAACTTGGCTAATAACGACTGCGGATATAACGACAACTCGCTAATAACGACAGAATTTCCATGCCCAGAGCAAAGTCCCATCTACATGTATACGTATAATGAGACTTCGGGTATAACGGCAGTCCGCTGTCCGCCCCATTGAGAGGTGCCAGGATATCTGGGTCTATCATCTTACCGGGAGCACATTGGCGACAAGCAAAGCCGCCTGCTGTATCCTGGCATACAGTGACTGTGAGGTTGCAAGTGTGAGTATCTGCAAGGTGTATGATAGGCACATATGAACAGCATAAATACACACCGGCACACCGGCATCAACAGCATCAACAGCACACCTACATGTACATGTACACATAAAGAAAAGCCGGGCATGTGTGTGTGTGTGTGTGTGTGTGTGTGTGTGTGTGTGTGTGTGTGTGTGTGTGTGTGTGTGTGTGTGTGTGTGTGTGCCTGTGTGTGCCTGTGTGTGTGTGCCTGTGTGTGTGTGTGTGTGTGTGTGTGTGTGTGTGTGTGTGTGTGTGTGTGTGTGTGTGTGTGTGTGTGTGTGTGTGTGTGTATGTTGAATGGTGTAATCCCAGTACAAGTTGCTATGTCTAACATAGCGGTTTGCTATCATCGCTTCCGCGATGGGTAGGTGTGAGGTCTGAGGTGTGTGTTGGAAATGAGGGGCATGTACTATATATAAGAACCACCACCAATATATCAGGCTGAAAATCTCATCCTCTTGATCCATTTTGCCTTACACAGTGGCATGCAGGCGCGTGCGCCGGTGGCCTTCAAGGGGGGGGGGGTTCCGGGGACCTCCCCTGGGGAAAATTTCAAAAAATCCTGCATTTTGAGCGAAAAAGGGGGGGTCCGGGCACCCAGGAACCCAAACGGGGCACGTGCCTGGGCATGCATTGCGCAAACGGACCCAACAGTGCTCCATGTTGGGCTGAGTGAACTCAAAAGGTGGGAGCAACTTGTCCTAAAATTATTTCAAATTTAGGTACAAAAATTGTGCAATCAATGTGGTCACGCTGTACACAGCGGAATAGGCTGTTTTGAAATACACGATCACAGAGTCAGTCAGTCAGTCAGTCAGTCAGTCAAGGTCAGGCTGCACAGTTTTGATTGAGTCCGGGTAACGCCCAACCCAGCCGTGTTCGCAGGTGCTTGTAAATCGCCATACATAAGCATTATCCGGACTGAGGGGCCGTCTATTACTGTTGCCATTTATCACGACCATACAAACACAGAGTAAGAGAGAGAGGGAGTGTGTGGGTGGGGGGGGGGGGGGGAGGGGAGAGGTACAGCGATTTATACTCACATCGCAATGCACGGGTATCGTATTCGTAGTGACTTCACAGGGTAGATCTAGAGACGTGCATATTATTGGAGGAGGGGAGGGGGGGGGGGGTGTGGGTGGGGTGGGGAAAGAAGTGACGGTCTCTGAAAGTCTAAACCGCTTTGTATGGTTGCAATAAAATTAATGGTGACACTGATTATGGACGGTCTCCTTCCGCTATTTGGTTTACCCAGCTATGCCTGAGAGACGCATTGTACAACTGACTGTCTGTGTAATCTGGATAAATGAAGTAGAATCATACAGGTTCGGGGACAATTTACAAAACTCCGACTATGATGAATCGATGGTCTTGTCTGAATGACTTCACTTACCTTGAAGGCATTCATCAATGTTTTCACATTGCCATGTACCGGTCGAGTTGAGCGCCTCGTAGCCGCTGGCACAAACGCAAGTGCCGTTGATCGCGAAGGAGGTGCATGGGATGGCTGCGAACTGCTGCCCTCGACAAGCCGGCGGCAGTACCGCGCCCAGAACAGCTATCAGCGATATCAGCGTGATCGCGAGCAACCGCGACTTACCAACCACCGAGCCAGACCTAGAAGTGAGGCTGGGGCTCATGTTTCTCAGTTTCTGCTGCTGTCGAGGCCCAATGACAATGGCAATGATTGTTTTGTACTACGAAAACGATGGGGAGGATTAGTTCAGAATGGACAGCAGGAATCATGCCCTTTGCGGGACGAACTCCAGGATATAGTTCTGGATTCGAGCATCCCCCTAGACTACTATGAAAGAGGCAACATTAGTTTTGACTCTGGCCATCGATGAACTTTTTCCATTCCAGAAACAACTCATGTCCAGACAAACAGTCGACCTGCATTCTTATTCGCCACTAGAAGTGCAAGAAACGGAGATATTTTGTCAGTTTGAAGTTTGTAGATCTACAGCATTGTGGGAAGCCGCTGTTTCCATAGACAGGTGGACAAGAGCACTGGACAATGGCCAGCGATGCGCGATACTGTTCGCAGATATGAGCAAGGCTTTCGACCGTGTACAGCATCAACAACTGGTCAACGAGCTGGCTGACGTAGGGCTAGGCGGCTCGGTGCTGAAGTGGTTCGCGGACTATCTGTCCTCCAGAAGTCAACAAGTCGTGGTCAATGGGGAGCGTGGTGGGACTGTGCCCTGCACCAGGGGAGTTCCGCAAGGGTCCGTCCTTGGCCCCCTCCTCTTTTGCGTCTACATCCGCAAGGTTCCACAGATTGTTCGGAACAGTATTTCTCAGCTCTATGCCGATGACATCGCCTTTTTCGTCATTGGAACGGACCTCTCTGTCATGCTGCGAAAGCTTCAGGATGACCTTAGCGCTCTGGAGCTCTACCTTGATGACAAAGGACTTCTCATGAACCCTGACAAGACGCAGTTCCTGGTCCTTCGGCGCCCACGCCAACCTGTGCCGCATCTACCAATCCCCCTAGTTTGTAAAGGCAAGCCCCTCACCCCTGCAGCCACCGTGAAGTATCTCGGACTACTCATCGACGAGCATCTCACCTTCCAGCCGCAAGTCGAGAAGGTCTGCGGTGCGGTGTTCGGCAAGATTGCCGCCTTCAGACATGGCCGAAAAAACCTAACACCTGAAGCGAAGAGGACGTTCTATTTATCCATTGTGCAATCGACTCTCGACTATGCCAGTAACGCTTATCTGCACTGTCTCAGCGCCACCCTGTTCAATAAAATCGTGACGGTCAGTCACATAGCAATGAAGAAAGTTTTTGGGTTTGACCGTATGATGTCTACTGAAATTGTTCTCCGCAAATATCATCTCTATTCTTTTGAACAGCGCACAAATCTTAAACTCTATGTTTTCGTGTACCGCTGCTTGACCCCACATCTTGCTAGTCCCCTTCTCCAATCCTTGTTCCAGCTTAGGGCTGCTGTGCCTGGACACCAGGCTCGCACGCGCGGCCAGGCACAGCGCGCATTAGTTCTTCCGCCTGTTTCTACGCAATATGGCATGCGTTCTATTTCTTTCCTGGCGGCAGACAGATGGAATGCTCTTCCCACTGACTGCCGTCAGGCCCCGTCTCTTACTCTGTATGTAAACATGGTAAAAATTCACCTAGGGTTCCCAGTAAAAAGGCAACGCCTGTTGGGACTCCCCTAGTAAAATAATAAAATCTACTACTACTACTACTAGCCACAAGGCATGTCTACACTTGACATGGTGTCCCATGTTGATGAACGTCACAGACTGTCAGTCCTAGGACTCCTAATCCTATAATTATTATTGGCCTAGACCACCTGCATCATCTACTACTACTAGTACGTATATCGGCGTGGTCTGCGATTCGTACAATCCAAGTATCAGATTGTATTGAAAATCTCACCGGGAAATGGGAAGAAGGGGATCCCCTTCTTCCCATTTCCCGGTGAGATTTTCAATACAATCTGATACTTGGATTGTACGAATCGCAGACCACGCCGATATACGTACTAGTAGTAGTAGATGATGCAGGTGGTCTAGGCCAATAATAATTATAGGATTAGGAGTCCTAGGACTGACAGTCTGTGACGTTCATCAACATGGGACACCATGTCAAGTGTAGACATGCCTTGTGGCTTCCCACAATGCTGTAGATCTACAAACTTCAAACTGACAAAATATCTCCGTTTCTTGCACTTCTAGTGGCGAATAAGAATGCAGGTCGACTGTTTGTCTGGACATGAGTTCGATGAGCATGCACCATGTGCACATGCACATGAAAATATCCACAGGATGCGACAAAACTTGTAAAAAGGAAGCAAAGAATGCGAAGTATCAAAGAACTTTATTGAAAATCTATGATTATGTGATCGGAAAGATGATTGAAGAAAAATCCAAAGTCAAACCCAGGCAATTATTAGCAGTCACTACTATCAAAGCAGATCATTATTAAATTTTACAATAGCGCAACTTGGAAAGCCGGCTAAAATTCCAGACCATCCCTAAGTAGGTCGATATTAACCGAAAGAATGCGAAGTGCATTATCGTTCAAGATCCAGTCCCAACGCCCTACTGGTTACGATTTGTACGATCTGTAGTGTAGGTACCCAATGTAATGCTGTAAACGGCAGTGTCTCTGTAGGTAAGATTTGTACATGTAGTGACAGACAGGACTACTACTACCATGACTATACTCTATCTACAGCCTTACAGGGGCAAAGTCTAGAGCAGTAGAGCAGTAGGCGTAGTCAGGGAGTATGGACCAGTGAGGGAGTATGGACCAGTGAGGGAGTATGGACCAGTGAGGGAGTATGGACCAGTGAGGGAGTATGGACCAGTGAGGGAGTATGGACCAGTGAGGGAGTATGGACCAGTGAGGGAGTATGGACCAGTGAGGGAGTAAGGACCAGTGAGGGAGTATGGACCAGTGAGGGAGTATGGACCAGTGAGGGAGTATGGACCAGTGAGGGAGCATGGACCAGTGAGGGAGTATGGACCAGTGAGGGAGTATGGACCAGTGAGGGAGTATGGACCAGTGAGGGAGCATGGACCAGTGAGGGAGTATGGACCAGTGAGGGAGTATGGACCAGTGAGGGAGTATGGACCAGTCAGGGAGTATGGACCAGTGAGGGAGTATGGACCAGTGAGGGAGTATGGACCAGTGAGGGAGTATGGACCAGTGAGGGAGTATGGACCAGTCAGGGAGTATGGACCAGTCAGGGAGTATGGACCAGTCAGGGAGTATGGACCAGTCAGGGAGTATGGACCAGTCAGGGAGTATGGACCAGTCAGGGAGTATGGACCAGTCAGGGAGTATGGACCAGTCAGGGAGTATGGACCAGTCAGGGAGTATGGACCAGTGAGGGAGTATGGACCAGTCAGTGAGTATGGACCAGTCAGTGAGTATGGACCAGTCAGGGAGTAGTGAACACACTGCGGGTTTTCACTGTACTCCCCGACTGGCGTATGCTTGGTGTCTACGTACAACAAGGGAGGGGTTGTCCGTCGGATTGTCGATGAAGGCATTATGAGTCCTAGGCATTGGCAGATAATGTTCGAAAAGGTGACAGATTCTGCTCGAAAAGCAGTGAAATTGGCAGAACCATACAAACCTTATGGCGGGCAATTCCTCGAGTTCTGCTCCATTTCTTTATCCACATACCAAACATGCATGAAACTTACCGGCGTGTAATGCGGCTTCGATTCCACAGTCTTGTCCACCGCAAAGCTGGAGGGAGCCAGTAGCAGATTCGATAGGCGGCCCTAACATCGTCACAATTAGGCATATGCGGATAATGCCGGCAGAAAAATTGGCAGAATTCGGTACTTTTTCTGGTAAGTCTCATGCATGTTTGGTATGTGGATAAAGAAAAGGAGCAGAATTCGAGGAAATGCCCGCCACAAGGTTTCTATGGTTCTGCCAATTTCACTGCTTTTTGAGCAGAATCTGCCACCTTTTCGAGCATTATCCGCCAATGCCTAACTCAGGGCGCGTTCGAATTGTCACTCTTTGACTTTTCAAGGAGTTTCGTTTTTCTGAAGAGGTGGCCTTATTGGCCTCTTCAGAAAAACGAAGCTCCTCGAAACTCATCCGATGGGAAGGTGGATTAGTTTCGAAGAGTTTGGAATCTCTCTCACTCACTCTCTCTCTCTCTCTCTCTCTCTCTCTCTCTCTCTCTCTCTCACACACACACACACACACACACACACACACACACACACACACACACACACACACACACACACACACACACACACACACACACACACACACACACTCCTTTCTTCCCGGTTGCCGTGCTTGTGACATTTTTTTGTCCCCTGCTGCCGTGCTCATATTAGTCTAACTTATACTCACTGGGCCTCATGCTCAGTCTGTTGTCCATGGTTGCCTGTACACTACGTACAGCTGTGGTCAAGTGTGGACATAAACGTACACACTGTAACACGGCATGCCACTCAACAGACTCAGATATGAGTCAGACTCATAATAATAATTATTATTATGAATCAAAGTCAAACGTCACTAAACATGCTACTACTAGTAGTACTAGTACATGTACATGACTGTACATAATTATTTACTGCGCTAGGAGTACTACTACAGTGCTGGCAACTGAAATCCGATCCCCTTGCCCTCGCGCCGCCCCGGCAAGGGGGTCGGATTTCAGTTGCCAGCACTGTAGTACTACACTGTCCCCGGGAAAATTGCGATTCCGCGCCGCGTTTTTTCCGCGTTTTTTGCGATTTTTTACAAGACCGCGTTTTCCGCGATTTTCCCGCGTTTTTTGAACTTTTTTGTTGCACTACACGTACACACAGTGCACTGTTCGGTCAGCAACGTCTCATCGTGGCGGCTTTTTACTCAAATATGACGAGTGCTTACACCAGAGACTTGTAACTGATTGATTTCACTACATACTCACTGAAAATTGCCGCACATCAATATTATTCACCGCATATTTACCGCAAATTCACCGCAAATTATGCCATATTATGCCGCGTTTTTCCCCGCGTTTTTTGCGATTTTTTCCGCAATTTTCCCCGGGGACAGACTACATTTGACTACAGCCAGGAGTCGTATGACGTATGACTCGTAGTCGTAGTCGTATCGCATATCGGTAGACCTCACGTCACAGCAGTCAACGAGTCCTCGGCGCGGCTTCGACTTCGCGAGCAAACCAGCCGGCCCCGAGTCATAGCATCGAACAAAGCAGCCTCAAAATCGTGGCTCGTGTCAGACCCAAGTGTGTTGTCGACATGTCCGCGTTTGGAGGTCAGTCTTTTCATGTGTGAATCGTCGTATACGCGTAGGCCCTGTAAATGTAATACTAATAATTATTATAGTAATAGTACGAACGACTAACTGTACTGTCAGCATCGTCTGCGGCTCCAGCCATTCGACCAAGC